ATCCTTAGTATAGTTATTACTACCTTCGATACTATTAGTTATAATACTATAGTTCTAATAGTTACTAGGATTGAATTTCGACGACTTCTATAAATTTCTATCTTTACTATTCTTTGTTACTATTATTAATAACTACTTCCCCTATATTCTCTATATTACTTCTAACCTCTAATCTATTACTAGAAGGGTTAGCACCTATTAGATCCGGTATTTCTACGCCTACTAGCGGCATAGGTAGTAGCTTAGTACCTAAGTAATCTCTAATATCCGGATACCTTAAACCGTAGTACGTAGCGACCTTGTTTCTACGATAACAAGACAGGCAATTAGTAAGCAATACTACTACTAGATAGTAGGACCCTATCGGTTTTAAACTAGTCCGTAGCCCCTTCTTATACTCGAAGAACGGCTAGTTATTAGTCACCTTACTAAACCCCTATTCGACGGACTATCGTAAAGCCGTCTATTCCTTCGTAACCTACGCCTATATAGGGTTAGGATAGCCCTCTCTCTTCGATTCCTACGATCCGATAATACTATCGACCTATCTATATACTAAATTATATAAGAGAAAGAGCTAGTCTTCAAGAGGGCCGTTATCGAATAACTTATACTATACCTAGTTAATATTAGACTCCCGTACTAGTCGACTATCGCTATAAGAGCTAGAATAAGGGCTATTAATAAGCAATATTCTATCTAGTAGCTATACCCCTTAGAATTTAGGCTATAGAGGTGCTTATAGCCGTTACAAAATACCCTCTAGTTGCGATAGGCCTCGCAATCTTCCTTATAGTACTGTTAATATATCCGAAGATACTACTAGTAGATACTCTAACTAATAGATATAGCGACTCCGCTAGGCTCCGGAGATATTGCTTACTAAGCCGCCTCTTGTTAAAGAATAAGAATAACTTCTACCTTATCGCTAGGCTATGTGCTACCGCATTGGGTGTGTAACTTGACGTAGTAGCTAAATAGCTAAACTTCTTATATATGTCCTTCTAGAAGCCTAGACTAGATAGTCGCTTATAGACTATATAAAGCACCGTAGTAGGTAGCAATGTAAGGCTAACTAGTAATACGATTGAACTAATATCTAATAGGTCTACTAGCTCTATTAATTTAGGCCTTATAAAGCGAAAGTTACCCTTAATATTAGTATCTAGATAACTAAGAAGGTCGAAGTGCTATTTCCTATAGACTCTCGCTAGTTTAAATAGTCGGTTACGCCTTAAGTAGCGGTGCTACTATTTACGTATAGATTTACCCTCCCTAAACGCCTACCGATCCTTATTACTACTATCTTCCTCGAGGTATTTACTCGTAATAGCAACGACCGTTATAGTAGATATAGTAACTATAATAGCTCTAGTTTCTATAGTTTAGTATATAGGTCTATAATAGCTAAGGTCTAAGCCCCTAGAAGGTCTAAAATAGAGCCTCCTTACTATACTAAACCGCTTTCGATTATATATAAATTAGCCTCTTCTAAAGGTCTATAAAAAGCGCTATATTAACTCTTAGCCTAACGATTACAAGCTAGCGCTTATTTAGAAGCCGATAGCTAGATTAACTACTTCTAAAGGTCCCTAATAATAGTCGGGCTCTAAGTCCCGCGTTCTTTACGTTCCTAGGATTTTTAGATAGCCCTATACTTCCTCGAATTTCGGGACGGCCCGTTCCGGGGATTGCTTATAATCGATAGGATCTTTAACTTACGATCCTAAGAATTCTAAGGATTATAAGCGATTATAAGCGATCCTATTAATAAGATAGTCGCGATCGGGAAAAATATTTCCGTAACGCGGCTAACTATCCGTAGTAGTTTAAAACTATTATAGTAGCTACCTAGAATATATCGATAAGCTAGCCGCTATACTATATAGTAATATCTGATTTAAGTTGCCTTAGCGGCAGGGGCCCCTAGCGAAGCAGGTCGCCTAGTTAGGCTCTTATTTAGCCGTATAACGTAACTTCTTAGAGACCCCTATAGAGGCCGTACGTAGTAGATTAATATATTGTTATTTAATCTACGAACGACGGAACGGTACCGAACGACGCTTACGCGCGTACGAACGATAGTAAGTAAGATATATAGAGCTATAGAATAGATCCGAGTAGTAGGAAGGAGCCGGAAGATGCAGAAGAGCTAGGAGGAATATATTTACTTAAGAGCGGTTAAACGAGTTCGCGTACGCGCTCGCGCTCTACGCGTAGGGAAGGACCTAGAGATAGAGGTTTGCTAAGAAGTAAGCAAGCGAGATATATATACCTACGCTTACGCGATAGACGCGTCCGATACCTATAAGGTAGGATAGTTAGGAAGAGGCTCTTCCTCTAAGGCTCCCTTCTTTCCTTTCTTCGTAGTTCGTCTTATATAGATAGTAGCTATATTAATTTAGTGCTTCCTTTAGTTTAGTTTATAGTCTAGTTTGGCTTAGTTTAAAGTTTAGTATACATTCTTACTACTTAGTGTCTAGCCCTTATAAAAACGGCTAGCTAGCTGCTAAAGGCCGCTAAAACTAGCTCTTATAGCCTATTTTCCTAGTCCTAGCCGCTTCCTTATCTAGGTTTAAAACGGCTAACTAGCCGCGGTAAAGTATTTACTCGAGCTTATACTTTAATTTACCGTTAGTAATCCTTATCTAGGGTTACAACGGTTAACTAGCCGCGGTAAAGTATTTACTCGAGCTTATACTTTACTTTACCGCTAGTAATCCTTATCTAGGTTTAAGACCGCTACCTAGCCGCGGTAGTTAATAGTAGTAGCTCTTATAGCCTATTTTCCTAGTCCTTACCGCTTTCTTAGTCCTTATAAGGGAGCCGTAAACCTTTATACCTTACTTAGAAACGCTCCGCGATAACCGAGTAAATATAAGGCGCCAAGTTTCTACTTCGTACCTTAGATATAGGTACGGCGCGGAGTTAAATTTAGAAGTATAGCTAGTACCTATAGCCGGTAAAAGGATACGGCAATAGGCCTATTCCTAGTAGGTAGCCGGCTTAGTTAGGGAAGCCTCCTATAGTATAGATATTCTCTACTAGTAGTAATACGATTAATAGAGAATTAAGGAAGGTCGATAAAGAAGAAAAAGAAGAAGGTATCGAAGGGCTTACGCCCCGAAAGGAGCCGTTCGCTAGGTAAGCGATTAATCTAACGACTAAACACAAATCCTAATAAATCCGCTATAACCCGACGCCGAATCTTAGCTAGTAGCTATATATCTTATCTTTAAAGAGTAACCCGCTTCGTATAGATAGTAAGGAGGTTAGAAAGCTTAAACTCGGTTACGAGAAATGCCTCCTAGCCTATTATTAGGGCAACTACGAGCGGCATAGATATAACTTAGTTACTATTATAGCTAGTAGCCGCAGCTAGTAGTCACATAAGAGTATACTTATAATAAAACTAATATAGTCTCTAGTTCTAACTAGGAATCTATATAGTTTAAAGAAACTAAGCCGGAACTAGGGAGCTAGCCTACTACTAAGAAACTAAACTATATACGTTTTATAGTTCGTAAACCGAACTACTACGGAGTCTAGCGCTACCGGTAAGCTTATAAACCGCAATAGAATGCCGCGAATCCGGTAATACCTAAATTAGTAGAAATAAAATAAAAATATTCCTACTCTTACCGTCGCCTATATCCTACTATATATATCGCTCTTTCCTTTTGCTCCTCCCCTTTTCTCTCTACTACTATACTACTTTTCCTATAATAGACTAACCCTCTACCTACTACTACCGCGAAAATTATACTAACCGTATACGCCGTCTTCGCGAAATAGTAGTAAAACGTATCGATCTGTACTATCCTGATAGTGGAAAGTAACTCCTTTAAGGCTTCGACTAAACCTTATCTACTCCTTTCCTTAATTTTATTAATCCTCTATATATCTTTAACGCTTTACGCTAATACTATACCTCCTCCTATAGTAAGGAAATATAAAGTATAATAGGAGCCGCTTTCTAGTACGTAGATAGAGCTAAGCGAGCGGAGACGTGTATAGCCGCTATATAAATAGAGTTTCCTAGCTAATTAGGTAGTCCTAGAGGTTATACCCTTACTAGTATTAAAAACTAGCTCTAGTTAGCAAAATACTAAACTATATAGCCTAACTATATACTATACTACGTACTATAGGATACGGGATTTAATTCCCTTATTAGCTATATCTCTTTTTTTTTAATCTGTATAACTATTAATATTCTACGACCCTCTAGCTAATTAGATCGGTTCTAGATAGTAAGATTTATTCGCCTACAGTCCTTATAGAGATATAGGGTAGCGACTAGCGAAGGTATAACCCCTAATATCGGAGGTTCGAATCTTCTATTAGCTATCCTTCTACGCTTACGTAAGGCGGCGGCTACGCCTACGAAAGGGCGGCTATACCTGCGATTTTTTAAAGTTTCTATACGTAATTTCCCTACGTTCCGAAATTCGCGGGCTAGTCTACGTATTCTAGGGATATTATTATACTATATATAATATATTAAAGCGAACGATACTATACTTATTTTATTAAATTGTTACATTACTAGACTTTAGTACTTATAGTCGAATACTAAATAGACTAATTTATACTATACCTAGAGTCTTTAGTACTACTAGTACTAGTATCGCTATATCTTAGTTCTCTTTTCTTAGTTATAGCATTACTACTAGGATTTGTAGGTTATTAAAAAAGAAGTAATTTTTTTTAGAATAGAGATTACTATTAAAATTATTATTCTATATAAATTAATAAAATACATACTATTTAGCCTATCTAGCTAACTAGGCTAGCCGCTAAAACGATAGACTAGGATACTACTTAATTTTGTATACTAGCTAAGAATTAGTAAGGTTTATTATATAGATAGTAGGGTAGGTCTAGGTAAACCCGAAGCCTAGTAGTAGGCTTGTGCTTGCAAATTACCTAGGTAGTTATGTTAGACCTCTTTGTTAAGACTTTTGCAATACTCTTTTTACTAAGTATGTGTATGCAATTTACCATGCCTGTATTTTGCTATCACCATACTCCCTTACAACTCTACCGACATGAGAGTCTCTCTTGCCCTCTACAACGCCAAGTATCGCTTGTCCTCCAAGACTAAGGTCGCCACCACTGCTTTTTCTAAGGCGCTCCGGTTCATTGCCCAGTCCAGTAGATGGCAAACCAGGCGCAACGCACCAGACCTTGACCCCGTCATTCTTCAAAAGCCTGTGCCATTCCAACATCATCATATTCAAGCCCGCCTTACTGCTTCTGTACGCCGAGTTGCTTGGAGGCTTCGGTAGGCCTGGAGGGGGGACTTTGTGCATAAGGTGATGCGCGTCCGCAGCATCGGCTAGTGATGAAGCGCCAGAAGTTACGAAGAGCAGCCTTGGGTCTTTCGATTTCAGAAGAAGTGGCAAGAATGTCTCTGTGATGATGTTCGCGCCGGTCACGTTCGTGTTCCAACATTTATTCCATGCATCCCTCACCGTAAGCTGTCCTTTGTGTATCTGAGAATCGAACGATGCGCTTGCATTGTTGATGATCACATCGACTCTGTCTACTTTTGAGGAAATCGTGGCTAGAGCGGTGACAATCGAAGCGTCGGAGTCTACGTCGATCTGGATGGGATCAACTTCAGAATTGGTTTCGGAAGCTTCGTCCTTCAAGGACATGGCGGCATTTTCTGCTCTCACAAGATCGCGGCCGCCAAGGAAGATACGGTAGCTTCGGTCGGATTGCAATAGAGCTTGAACTGTAGCATGGCCTATTCCTGTATTCGCTTCTAACTGCTATCAGCATTAACGTGCTACTGTGATGACATTCTCACACACCAGCAATGAGCACGACTGTTCGGTCTGTCATGTTGCTCTTTGCTCTTTGTAGGAGATTGAAGACTTCGTCGCTGGCTTCAAGGCCGGTGATAGAATATGATCGATAGCCAAAGTTATTCGGTGAGCTCGTGCTTATCGAAGGTCTTCTTTTGTTGCTAGTACCCAGTCGTGATGGAGGTCGTCGTGGGACACCATCTTCTATATATGCTGCGGAGTCGGTAGAAGCTCTCCGATGCGATGACACGCTATCTCGTTTGGATGGATGTTGCGAGTCGCTGGTGGAAAGATATCTGTTGGCGGACTTGTAGACGTTAAGATTCGTGGACTCCATGACTCTGCGTCGTAAGTTCGCGAAGACTAGTACAGGCACTTAACGAGACGTGTGAGCAAGGTTTGGAGCTGAGAGATCGTAGGAATCGCGGTCTTTAAACAACAATCCCCGCTTTGAAGGCTTTGATTCCGTTGGCGAACATGACAACAAGTTATCTCCCGGGCCACACACATGTTTGTTGCTACTTTTGCCGCTGATCGTTGATCCCGCGACGCGAATGTCTCAGGCAAGCCAAGGGAATGGATCACTATGCAGCCTCGGCGAGTGGGCTTCGCTTGACCCACCACACGTTATGCTCGGCCTTTTGAGCTACAAAATGGAGGGCCAGACCCTGGTCGTGAATATTCCCATGGCTTCCAAAAGGCAGTGCTATGAGATTGCAGCAAGCGCTCGCGAGTCTCTAGAAGCCACCAGCACTGCGAATGCGATGGTGAACCTAGCATTCAACCTGCGATATGGCAAAAAATGTTCTCACAGCAAGGTGAAGTGCAATGAGTTCTCCGAAGGCTGGCCAGATACTGTGGTATGACTCAGAACCATTCCAGCGCTTTGCCGGTTCGGTGTCTTGAATTGTCTGGTCCGGAGTACCCTCCGGCAAAAGCGCTTTTGTGAACCAAGTGTGGAGAAGATGAATGGCAAAGGTAGCTGTGGTACTGCAATTCACCCGAGGAGCGTCATGGTCCAATGGATAACAATGCCGTCATACATTGGACAACTGATTAACTTGGTCATGCCAGAAGGAAGATACCCCCAGCAGGTTATGATTGCCAGAGCACTACCAGCATAGATCTATATTTATGAAGCAAATACTGATAGACAGTCGCGGAGATGCCGGCCCAGGAGAAGCCAAGCAGAATAATGGCACCCAGGTTGGACTATGGAATGAAGACGCAGTTCGTCCAGCCCAGCCAGAAGACGCAAATAGGAAATGCAGGCGCAGCGAGGGGCGCCTGCCAGAGGCGATACTCGGTTTCTGGAAGATCAGAGCTCGAGATGTTCGCAGCTCGAATCAGATCTGGGTCAAACTGACCCGTCACTTGCTCATGTCACCTGCCCGCCTTCCTCTTGTACTGTCTGTAATAGTACGGCCCTATCGTGGACCGCAGAGTGTCGCTCAAAGCCAGTGCGCGGAAGCAGGTGCTGATAAACCCTCTTTTGAAGGCATAGGTGGCTCGAAAGATGTATGTCATGTCCCTGTAGCAGGCCGAAAACTAAAGTGTACTCTTATACGAGCCAGGCTCCTAGAAGACCGACATTTGGGCCGCGAGGAATCAGATGTAGCGCTTGAAACAATGCAACTTCGAGACGGTGTGTGAAGGCCTTTTGTACGCCAATTTCTGACTCGACACCAGTGACAGTCTGCAAGTGCTTGGCATGCCAAGAGAACAGAATTGGCGAGAATGTCTCTGGGAGGAGAAGGAGCGTGAGCACAATGGGAGGAGGAGGAGTGTGAGCATAAGAGTGTTTATCGACATCAAGACTGCAATCCATTCTGTCCCGCGCCAGTCGAAACCAGTTTGCACAGGAGAAAAAGCAGTGCCCCAAAAGCTCGCCAGCGCAATCACTGGCCAAGCCAGCGTCCGATGCACCGGTCCGAAGATGTTAGCTGTTGACGCAGCGTGAATCGCCAATAGGAGGTTTCCAGATACACCAGCAAGGAAGCGAAAGACGCATGGAGCACCAAAGTTTGGAGCCCACCGTCTCAGAGATCGGCCCAGCGAAGAATGACCCCAGCGCCAGCCCACACGTGTATAGACTCGGTGAAAGAGTCTCTGCTTCTTCGCTCACGTGAAACTGCTCCGCGGCAGTAGCTCCAGTCTGAGAATCGGCGGAAGATGCCCAATCCACGGCGGAGAAATTGATCCACAGTACGTCGAACATAGCATGATGGTCCAGTTCCTAGGTTCAGAGGATTTTGGAGGCCATCCCAGCCCACTATGATAGGGTCTTGATATCCGTTGCGCTCCTGTAGATCGGCAGTGGTGCTTCGATTGTCACTTGAAGAAGCATACCGTTGGCTAAAACATGCGGGCGTGGATACCACGAGCCAGGCAGCTATTCCGAACTCGGTTGAGAAAGCTTGGCGCGCGTGCTCCTGTGCAGAGCTGCCGAAAACAGATCCAAGTATATCAACCTACAAAGTAAATTCGAGGTAGCTCTAGCACACCCTGTGGGTTCCATATGCCCCTGCAGAGTGCCCTGAAACCACCGAAATTAGCATACAAATCGGGGTATTGCAAACACCCCTTATATAACCTAATTACCTCGGATTTCTACCGTTCCGAATAGCTATAATCGCTCGAAAACGACTAAGGTACTAGTAGCGATAGCAATAGAGCTAGAGCTAGAGCTATATAGAAGACTAGTTGCCGCAACGGCTTATCGTTAACAACTCGCTACTTTATAGTATAACGAGATATTAGTTTAGCCTACTAAGTACTATTCTTAAACTACTAGTCTATCTAAGCGACTCGCGAGTCGTAGCTTAGTGCTTTAAAGTTAGTAACCTACTATAGAAGGGCCTCGTATTGCTAAGCGTCGGTTAGGTTAGAAGCCTACGAGTCGTAGAACCGGAAGAAGGCTTATAAGACTACTTCTTATATAGAATAGAGGTATTCCTTAACCTAGCGCTTCCGAGACACTCCTAGTGCCTTATTAACGTAGAAGACCTATACTAACTGCTCGTCTTTAATAATAAGCTTTATATTAAGCTAGTCGGAGTAAATAAAGTTACTATTTAGACCTTAGAAGCGACTAATATAGAGGCTATAACGGTATAGTATAAGGCGACTAATGCCTTCCTTATAAAAGCGCTAAATATACTAATAAGGAAGGTAAAAGCTATACTAGAAGTAATAGAAGCACTTAGTATATATATTGTCGTCCGTAGCTAGTAGAGCTATTCGCTAAGTAGGCTTATTATTGTCTATATCCTTATAGCACTATATAAGCTTATCCGCTATCTTCTTCTATATAGAAAGAGGTAACCGTCGAAATTTAGAAGTCTTCTCTTAACGCTATATTAGAAGCTAGCTATTCTTATCGATAACGCTATTTTAACGAATACGCTCGCGGATATAGTTATTAAGCTAAACGAGGTATAGGACGGTACCTAGAACAGTTAGTTATTGTTATATAGAATAGACAAGAAGCCGTAGAAGTCTAAGAATAATACTAAAGGCTAAAAGCTAGCCTATTCTAAGGAATCTACCTATACTAAGGAATATAGTAGGAGGACTCTATTCTTATAGAATTCCGATAGCACTGTAAGAATATAACGAATACGTACCTCGCAAGCTCTATTTACGTATCTAACGCTTGTCTCGGTACTTTAAGTATATACAATATCCCTCTAGTAGACTAGTAGTACGAACGGCTATTAAAATCGGGTCTCCGAGCCTTGCCTAAGTCGCCTAGCAATCGCTTTCTAAAGCCTTCTAATTTGCCTTTAAATAAGCTAACTCTTCCGTAGCTTTAACCGTATTATTATAGGTCTTAAAGGCCGCTATTGCCTAGTTAATAAAGGCCTAGCATTCTTCTTAGTCTCGAGTAATAAACAGAGCCTTGTTTATTGCCTTTAATATAGCTAGAAAGCGCTTAAAATGCTTCTCGAGGGTTTTAATAAGGTAGCGTTAGTAGAGGCGCTAGATAATACTATAGTCTATAAGACTTTAACTAACTCCGAGTTACTTACTTGCTAAGTTATTAGTAATTAACTATAGTAGTATCTAGGAAGACTGCTTAGTATAATTAAAATAGTCTTAATCTTTAGCTTTAGGAGAACAATAGTTGTCCGCGTTAAAGAAGAAGTACTTCTTATAGCTATTAAATCCGCTAGTTTGTTACTTAAAGTCTAATTTAGCTATTTCTCGAAGGCTCGAGATTGCCCTCTTAATTAGGTATACTTACTCGTAGTCGAGAAGGAAGTAAGCCGCTAGAAGCTACTCTAAATAGCTATTACGGACGTATATAGTTAAGAGAGGCTATTTAAGCCTATTCGTAAGGTATATAGAATCTAGTAAGAATAAGGACCTATAATTACGAAGGGCTCGAAGTTGCTAGTCCGCTACCTAAATAAGGCCTCTATAGACTAGTTTATTGCTTCTGCGAGATTGAATTGTCTCTATAAAGCTACTTCTACTGCTAAATTTAGCAGATAAGTACGAATAAGCCTGCTATAACTACTCCTCGAAGGCTAGTTTAGCGCCTTGTCTTCGCTTATTACTTAGTCGTTTAAGGCCTTCTCGATTAGCGCTAGAAATACGGTCTCGAGTAATGCTGACTATACTAGTATTATACTGGATTTGCCGCTATTTAGGCCTTCTTATTTCCTTAACTAACTAAGCGACTAACGTTAAGCTACCTCGAGAAGCGATTAGGTCCTTCTATACCGCCTTTACGCTATCGTTAGTTTATAGAGAATCGACGAATTCGAGACCGTACGAATAGCGGTTAGTAAGCGGCTTTAATACTACGTAGACTAGCCTTATAACTATTAAATTCGTACTTAAAGTCGAAGGTAGCTCGGCCGGTACGTAATTATCGAGAAACTCGCCTATTTCGCGATTTAGTCGCTTCTCGTAGACCTTAATAATTACTAGCTTCGCGTAATAGTCGTATATATATATATCGTACGCGCCGCGCGCTTCCGCTAAGGCCTACTACGCTTAAAAACCTCTCTACTATCTACGCGGTTATAGTCTATATAGCGCTTATAGATATAATACTCGAAGCCGAGTCGTCGATATAACCGACCTTACGAGTCCTTTAATAGCTTATTCGGTCGATTCTTATAATACTATATATTAGTTACGAAATAGCGGTATTCGTTATATTTGAAGCCTTCTATCCGTAGACCCTCGTACGCCTTAATACTACTTAACTCGCCTATAGGAGGGTAGAAGAATAGGCGCCTTCGGTTATATATATTTAGTAGAAATAGGCTCTTAAACTATACTAATTTAGCGCTATTCTCGACCTTACCGACCTTACGTTAACTACGTACTAGCCGCTCTACCTCGAGCTTAGTAAGTAACGCTTCTATATTCTTAGAAAGGAGGTATTTCTTATATATCGTAAAGAGCGGAGGATTTAGCGATAGTAAGGTCGAAACAAGCGTAATATATAACCGTAAGGAAGAGGTAGAATAGGTAGATAAATAAGAGGTAGAAATAGCCTCTAGATAAGGTCTAGTTTAGCTTTATTCTAACTCCTTATTTATAGGCCTATACTATGCGATTATAAGGCTTTAAATCGGCTCGAGATTAGACCTCTTAGCGGTCTATATATAGCCTATAGAACAACTATAGAAGTAGTTAAGCGGCCTTACAAACCTAGCCGCTATAGCGGCGCGATCTACACCCTTATATAGGTTAATATACTTATACCTATGCTAGCACACATTTCTACTCGTCGACAAATATCCGACCGTACGTCGCTTACTATATAGAAGATTCGTTTACTAAGCTTAAAGACACGATGCGAAGGAAGATATAGTAATAGTATAATCTAGGAAGAGCGTAGAAGAGCGAGAGGCTACTAGGCTTGTTCTATTATATCCGGTAGGCTAAGGTCCGCTACTTTCTTATTAATACGTTAGTTATAAGAGGAGCGGCCGTATACTAAGATCCTATATTAAGTGTAGTTGCAATATCCCGCTGGAATCGGAGGTAATAATTACTATACAAACTTAGTCCGTTTCGGAGGCAGATACGACTATAGGCATAATACATGCTATAATATCGATAGTGCTTACCGTACGGTACCTAACTCTAAGGTCGTTAGGGACATAATAGCTCGTTAGCTAAAATTCCTAACTTCTCCCTAAATGTTAGCATAGTACGGAGTAGTTCTAGCATAGAATAGCTTAGGATATAGGACTAGCTATCTCTAAGAGCTGAATTCTAGGCCCTAACTTCGAGCCTATCTAAAGTCCCGTAAGAGCGTCCGTGTGTAGTTTCTGCTAAGAATAGGCTCGGCCTACGGTACCGGACTCGGTAAGATATAGAAGTCCGCTCTATAGTATACGTAACTATAGAAAACGTAATCTCGTCGTCGGCGCGCGTCGCTATTACTAGGTCGACGGTAGTACGATTTCCGCTAGTATACTAAATATCGATAGTAAGAGATAGTACGGTCGCAATTTAATAGATTTCGCACTATTTTAATAGTATTTAACGACCCCGTATTCTCTGCTAGTAGATACTAGTTATATTACTAAAAATAAAGCTAAAGTTTGTTAGCAAAATAGCGGTATAGCAAAAAGCGAGGTATTATTAGCGATTATAGCTACTTTAATAACAGTAATATATATTTAAGGGCGGCGGTATATAAGGTATACTATTATAGACCTATATCGCGCTCGGAGGCGGATATTGCTACCTATTTAGCGCTAGTAGTATCGGTAGAGGCATATAATAGCTATTAGTTACCGCCGCTAACTACGCGCTAGGATAAGAAGGAAAATACATAGAGAACGCGTCGGTACTGCCTAGAACTGCCGGCGGCGCTTCTTTACTAATACTTAGTTAAGCTCGCGCTACTAATATTCGCGCGGATATCTATTATTGCTCTATCTATTTCTTTAATCTCTTCGGCTTCGCTATTTCTACGCTCTTACCCTTATTCTTGCCCTTCCGCTTCTTAGTCGCTATCGCGTCTATTAGCGGCGCCTTCGAGGTATTATAATAACGCGATAGTACGTTACCTAGAAGTAGCATTTATAATAGCTTCGGCGGCTATAATAGCGTTACATTAATAGAAGGGTTACTATTCTTAAAGTAAGTTAGTACTAATTATATAAACTCGCGCCTAATATCGTTACCGGACTCGTAGAAGACTAATAGTATCTTCGAGATTACCTACGTACGCTTCTCGTCGTCTTCTTCGAGGCCTTCTTCGTTATATATACGCTCTAACTTATAGATTAGCTCGTACGCTTCTGTAAGCGTCTCGCGTACGTTAAGTCGATAGGTAGGCGCGTAAGGTGCCGCGCTAGTCGTATCTACGCCTTATTAGTAAGGCGTATCTTCTAGCTCGTAGACCTCGAGCGCGCGGCCTTTAAATATACTAATCTAGTGCTACTAGTACGTATCTTTAATAATAGTGCGAAGAAGAGTAATATAATAGTACTAGAGGCAAGCGTAGAGTATATAATAGCGGTAGAAGAATTTGTAGTCGCAGGTAAGGAAGGCGCGGTCCTTACTTAGCGGCCTTAGGTCTTAGAATGCCTCCTTATTTAGCGCGACTAATTTCGGCGCTAACCTTACGCTAAATAGGCTACGGAAGGCATAGAAGGTATATTCGAAGCTCGTCGTCGTCGCCGCGGGCGAGAGAATATATATTAGCGCCCTAGCGGTACGTAGCAACGTCCGATCGGATATCCTTAATCGTTATCTCGCGAAGAACGTAAATTGCTACGCCTTTAAGTATAAAGTCCGCTACTATCGGCGCCTTATTACTATCTATTTTAAGGTATATATAGAAGCTCTTATTTATATTTATAGTCGTGTTTTGTTATACGATTATTAGTACGCCGCTATAGCGAAAGTAGAAGGCCTAAAGGCGGATATCTTTGCCTATCTCTTACTTAAGATAGTTCTTGTTTAACGCGTAATCTGCGTTTATAGGTAAACTATCGATAGCGGTAGAGAGGGACTATTTCGCGCCTTCGAAGAAGCGGCGATAAACAATAGCGGCTCGAAGGTATCGACGTATCTCGCTATAGGTCTTACCGCTAAAACGACGAGCGACTATACGTTAAACGTAAATATAGCAGAGAAGGTATATTATACGGTTTCGAAATGCTATACAGACTACGCGTCGCTCCGCCGCCGAGTCGTTTATTAATATAAATTTAGGTACCTAAATTCTATCTGTCTACGCGCTTATCTTATATAAGAAGGTCGATATAATATCGCTATTATTAGTAGGAGTAAGTATATACGTAACAGCACGCGAAATGCCGTATTTGTCCTTTACTATAATAGTATAAAGGTACTAACTAAGATAATTAGTCTTATACGTCGTGTCTATAAATATAATAGTAGTATAGGATTTTAGTAGTTCTATACCGGTTTAGGTCGCCTAAACAATACTATAGGTAGTTTTACCGTCAGTCTCGCGTATTGCTAATATATTGTCGTAAAAGAGCCCTTCTATACGAGTATATTAGTAATTGTTATAATAGAAAACTAAAAATCAAAACAAAGGAAGCGCGTCGAATCTAAAGTATAGGGTTCGGCCTACTAAGATACGCTAAACGCCGGACCGAGATATTACCGCAGCTTCTAAAATTCTTAATTAGCTTAAAGCTAAGGCTCTACGGCCCTTCCGCTCTAAGCGAAGAACTTTAAAATTTCGAGATTCTTTAAACTTCTAGCTTTCTAGGCTTTTATTCGTAGGCAATCGAGTCTAATATTTTCCTCGGTATAGAAGCTAAGTTAGACGAGCTCCGTATCGATTAATTAGTTAATCGGAGTCCGGATCGGCGGGAAGCGTCGGCCCGCTACGCTTTCTTTAACTTTAGATAGTAACAAGAAACAATATACTTACCTTCTCGATACTACTTAAATAAGTCTTCCTTCTGCTATTGCTATACTAGCGACGCGCCGCTAAGTTTACTATTCCTATATACCTTCTAGAAAGCGCGACCTAAGTTATAGACATCGTATTTCTATATCTATCGATCTCTAGCGGCATTAAACAGCTTATACGCGACTAGGTCGTACTCTACCTTTAGCGCCTTCTATATAGTACTCGGTATATAGCCTTAATATACCTACCGACTAGCGGCAGTTAAGAGAGCGCTATATCGACGAAATACGTCGAAGTTGTCTAGTTAGTAGTAATCGCTATAGTCGTCGCGATTTATATACTATATTCGATATAGTATATACGACAATCTCCTAACCGCCGCTACTACCGAGTCCTTTACCTTCCTCGTTACTATCCTCGTCTAGCGCGACGTTACTTAGACTATAAACAGCGATAACCTTTATCGTTATAGTATAATACTAAGCGCGCTCTATCTTCTTACAATCCCTCTTTACGCCGCGGCCCTTCGTCTTATTACTCTTCTAGTATAGTTATTTACGAAAGCGGTATATATAACGCGTCGTTTCTAGGCCGCTTTTCTCGATATAGTTATAGTCCTTTACCTATATATTATTAATATATAGCTAAAGCGTATACTACTGTTTTGCTAATACTTTAATATAGTTATCGAAGCCTAGAAGGATTAGTCGTTCTCGCTACTTGCGGAGGTTATCGACGTATAGTAACTATACGTATTTATTGCTTAGCTTAACGAGAACTCGAGACTTTCGAGAATCGAGAGTAACGATAATCGGAGGACTCGGACGCGTCTAACGCGTTATCTTTACTAGAATAGACTAATTCGTCCTCTGCCGGTCGTTCTATCGAGAAGTTAGTAATTCTAAGCTACTACCGGGCGCAATTTGCCTCTATATCGTTATATTCTAACGCGAAGTCGCCCTAAGCCTTCGAAGTAAGTATACTACTACTTCTACTATCTCCGATAAAGTTACTAATTAATATAGTATTAGAAGAGGTTAAAGGCATAATTTAATTAATAAAGCGCGATCGGAAGAGATAGAATCTACTTATTATAGAGGGCGGAGCGGAGCGATAGCAAGGTTAGTAGGGATAGTAGGGGTATAGAAAACAAGAACCTAAATAAAGCGCAGCGCGTCGACGCGCCGGAGCGGAAGCGTATACAATCTATACCGACCGCCGCTTACTAAGGTCTATAGAGCCTGTTCCTAGTAGGTCAGGCGCTCGGACGCTCTTACGGGACTTTAAACACCTGCCTAACTTCGGCGACTTGACGCATATTCTACGACTCATGCAGCGAACAAGGCCATGCAATCAGGCTGAAATGCGAAGAGATAAAGCAAACACGCGTTCCTTGCCTCCGAGGAGCGCCTTGCGACGTCTATACGGGTCGTTCGGAGCCATGCCCAATGATAATCCTTCCAGAAGTTCATCACTGCCGCCGGTCCACGAGGCACGGAGTGACTCGTCGTCGGGGTGATAACAATAGCTTTCTTCTCAGGGTATGCCATAGGTGTGCCGACACGCCACACGTGGAGAGCGTAGGGATGAGCCTGCAAGCCATGCTTCATGATGCGGAGAAACTTGGGGTTAGGTATATCCCATGTTTGACAATCCCGGATCAAAAAACGATACGGAGGTCTTAGCAATGAGTCTTGTGCCGGGGCTTCAATCAATGCTGAATCAACTTCCAATCAATTGTTACTGGCTCCGTGTAGGACTACCCAGTTGCTGGGACCTCCGTACTTGGTAGTTGTGTCTTCTTCGTTGTATCTCGCTGCGAGAATACACCGACTTCCCAACTCAAGCATGTAATGCCGGACTCAGAATGTAATGCCGGACTTCTTGAGTTTCGGGAGCCTCGCATCTTGTGATCAAGCGTTGAACCACTGCTCTGAAATAGAGACCAACCTCCAGACAAGTTTATGGCATGATCTGCTAACACCTCAAACATGGCATCGACAGAGAAGAAAGACACCGCAATCCAGCTAGAGACGATCGGCAATGATCCAGATCCAGATCCAGATCCAGCAACCGTGACAGAAGACAAAATAGACAGCTACGGTCTTCTCAAGTCGAGATATGATGAGCTATCGATTCTTCGCACCCTCTGGGTATTCAAGCGCGTCATTTTTGTCTCACTCGCTGTCTACACAGGGTACCTGTGCGAGGGATTCGAGGTTAGCACTTCCGCTCAAAGTGATCGAGTGCTCTTTGCTGATTGGTGAACTTAGCTCAACGCCGGCGGGAGCGTCATCGCGAATGCTGGTTTCATCAAGCAGTTCGGCGATGCCAAGAGCACAGGCGTGAGGGCCTTGGATCCCACTTGGGGTATGTCAGCAGTAGTGGTATTGCAAGCGGAAGAATTGCTGACCACGCGTAGTGTCGACATGGAGCGCCCTTTTAGTTCGTGAGGCCGACAACGAGAAAGACGCTCTTACTGACTGACGTGATCAGAATGTTGGGCAACTGCTCACCTTCACATATGTCTCCTGGTAAGTAGTTACAACCGGGACACGACACACGTTCCAATTTCGCGATATGTATGTCTAACTTGGCCCAGGTTCGCCGACCGTTTCGGACGAAAGCCTTCATTCTACGTCGCGTGGATCTGGCTAGTTGTCGTGAGCGCGACCTATGTGAGCATAAGCTTTCCCATGTTCTCGCTAACAATCTAGGGCTGCGTTTTCCTCAACACTGCCAAGTCACCATCAGTCTGGGTACGTACGAAATGGACTGTGCGCTCCTACCGATCAAGGATCCAGACTGAATCATTTATTCTCTAGGCTCTGGCAAAGCTCTGCAACGGCGCCGGAATTGGAGTGCTTCAGTAAGCTTTGTACAGGCACCAATCATCAGATGTTTCTCGCTCACTAATAGGTCAGGATTGTCTGTCAGGTGTATATCATGGAGATCTGTCCGAACCGCATACGAGGTGGTATGGTCGTGTTTCAATCCGTATGGTACGTTCGTTTAGATATATGGGCGGCGTTGACGGGCCATGTGCTCACTCACCATCTGTGCAGGGGCTGCATCGGTGGTATCATTGTTGCCGTTATGATGCAGCAGCTGAATAAAAAGCATCCGGATAATTACCTCGTTGCAATGCGAATACTCTGGGGCCCGATTGCGTTCATGATTGTATGCTGGGCATTCGTCCCCGAATCACCGTGGCACCACGCACGGAAGGGAGAAAAAGAGAAGGCCATAAAGGCACTCAAGAAGCTTTTCGGCGGCGTCGACGGCTACGACTTTGAAGAGGAATATGCGATCATTTCTCGAACCATCGAGCATGAGCAATCCTTGAACGAGGAAAAGCCAAGATTCCGCGACGTATTCCGCGGCTTGAATCTGGTAGGCGCTTTTGCTGGCTGGTATGGAAAGGATGGCAACAGCTGACAGAGCATGGCAGAAACGCGCAAGTATTGTCATCATCTTGAGCATTTCTCAGCAGCTTGCTGGTTTGGCAATCATCTCCACCTACTCTACTTGTACGTTTAGTCACAAGCCTCTATTGCGCCTGGTGCACCGCTGACATTGCAGACTTCTTCTCCTTGGCTGGACTGGACGATCCTTTCCTGGGCACACTTATTCTTCAGTAGGCGACGGGGTATTCAAGCAAGCACGAAGACAGCTAATAAGTTGGTGCAGATGCTGCAATCTAGCGGCGGTCCTCTTCTGGTCGCTTACTGCAGACTATCTCGGACGACGAGTGACGCTCAACACGTGCCAAACTCTCGTATGCGTCATCCTTGTGATCGTCGGGTCTTTGTACTGGACGGGAGCAACACATGACAACGCTGCTGCTGGCACGGCTCTGGTGGGTGCAACTACTCTCAAATTACGTGACATGCTGGTGGCTTGCCAACTAATATTGCAAAGCTGGTCATTTGCTGCTTCTGGACGTTCTCGTTCCAGATTGTCGCTATATCATACTATCTCTACTCGGCTGAACTGCCGACTGCACTCCTCCGAAGTGAGTGCTCTGCTCAGAGCATACGCACCGCTCGTGGACTAACACCTGCGCAGTCAAGACAGGACCCATCACGTTCTTCATGAACTCGATCACTGGCATCGCCACGTGGTATGTATTGCTCGAATGCGCAGGGTGAGATGTGATGGATGGCTAGACGACTCACCAATGAGCAGCTATGCTACGCCGCCGATGCTCCTGCACATGAGCCTCCGAGCTGCCTTCGTGTACTTCGCATTTTCCGTGCCCATTTGTATCGTCATGTGGCTTTATGTGCCGGAGACGAAAGGGTAAGCTGGCGCGCGGCACAAGAGTGGGCAGAAGCAGAAATGGCAAGCTGACGGTTGTGATACAGGAGGTCTGCGGCGGAGATCGACGAACTGTATGAACGAAAGGTGCCAGCTTGGAGATGGGCTTCCACGAGGACGGCGGCAGAGGAGCAGATGGAAGCGGTGGTGCAGGTCAAGGGTCGCGTCAAGCAGGCATGAAGTGGTCTCACGTCGCAAGATGATGGCGATGGCGATGGCGCGTGTGGTAACAACCGTTCGAAGTACAACGGCGGCTCTCAAGCACGTGCGATCATAGGCGCAGTCACTATTCCAGGCGCAGCGTCACGCTCAAATTTCCCAGTTCCAAGTGCGTAGGCGCGCCTGCTACTCGATGCAGGCCGTTTGGAGCGATGCATGCAGCACGAGGCTGATGAGAATTGACGCCGGCGGCTTTGAGACAGCACTTTTGGTGTGTATGAGCCTCACGGTGGAGGCCGAAGCGGCGCTTGCGAGCAGCATAAGTTGGACCATGTGCCGTGCCGTGCCGTGCTGTGCTGTGCCTCTGCGTTCATCACACTTTTGACTTCGTCGCCGAACACCAAGGTTTTCCGCTGAAAGGGAACCTGGGAAAGCCACGCCCAAGCATTGCGCTAGCACGTGCTCCGTGTCTGTGATTCGCTGCATGCTTCCTCGCCTCCATTCCGCTGGGATCACTCTCCCTCCGCGCGGTGCGCGATCGACAAGCAAGCACACCTCGACCACTGCACGTTCGTCGCGACATTCAATTCCTCCTCTCCTTGACTTCTCTTTCGACCTTGCATCCGGAAGGCCCGGCCAGCACACGCCAATCGAGCGTCGACGCCCACGTCCAGCGGCTACGACCGACCAGCTTCACAGGGCCAGTGCCAGTGCCAGTGCCAGTGCCAGTGCCAGTGCCAGTGCCAGTGCCCGTGCCAGGCTGTACATTCCACCGGTTTCGAATATTGCGGTTGAGTGCGTATGCCAGCCGGGTTTCCGGACTAGTGCTAGCGGTCAGTGAATAGTGTTTCCACCTCTTCTGAATGCGGCTAGTATAGCGGTTAGCCTAGAAGAAGTCTACCTACGGCGGTAGAGTTGTTTCTATATTATTAGGCTCTGTAGGTATGCTATATATAGTTTAGTTATATCTATAACAAGCCTTAGTCGGTGCGGCTATAACCTTAGTAGAGCTGCTTCTAACCTTATTGCTATTCTACTGCTCTTATAGATAGAAAGCGACAATTATAGCTCTATTCTTTATAGGACTACTACTATAGGTATACGGCTAGTTTAGATATAACTAGGTAGACGACAGTTATCGAGAAGTTAGCCCTCCGCCGGCCTTCGAAGATACTAGAAGGTAGGTACCTCGAGAGATTAGGGTACGATTTCCGCTAGAATTGCTCTCGTTCTTAGTAATAGATAGTTAGAGTAGATTAGTACTATAGAATCGACTCGAGGACTTCTCGGTCGTAGGTAGTAGTATTAGAGCCTATTAGTAGTTAGCAACTCGATAGCAATAGTATTAAGGTGCCCTATATACTAGGGCGTAGTTTAGAGCCTTCTTCGACTTAATCTAAGCTATAAGCGACTTAATCGACTCCTATACTAGCGCCGAGACCTACAACCGTAGAAACAGACAATAAGGACACGCTAAAGGTATAGAAGCGAGCGCGCGGTCTAATACTATCGTTAGCGGCTAAATAGCGTACTCCGAAGGTAAATAGGAAGAAGAAGGATAAAGCCGCGACTAGTAGTAGAAAGTAGAAGGATACGGAAACAGCCGCAACGGCTACTAGTAACAAAGGAGGAGGGTAGGGCGGTTCTTAGGCTAACACTAAAGGCGCTAAAGGTAGTAAAGTTAGTAGTAGTAATAAGGAAATAGGTAAAGGCCTAGAAGAAGGTAAGGACGGTAGTAATAGCGCACCTCCGCTAGAGAATAATAGGTTACTAGTTAAGGAACACTACCCTCGTTTCTACCTTAATAGTAGACTGTCTCGTATCCGCCTCTTCGAGGTTATTATTGCTAGAGCTAGGCAATATTCTAAGATCCCTCTTATCTAATTTTAGAAGCTTATTCGCAAGGACCTTATAGAGGCTAATATAATAGTACCTACTAATATCGATCGGATAATATTTAGTAACGCTATAGGTAGGAAGGGCTTCGTTAGGTAGCGCGAGGATCTATCGAGCGGTTATCGTTATTCTTAACTAAAGATGTCTAATCGAGAGGAAGAGCTACTCGACGAGATTATCGCTATACGAGACGATCGAAAGGCTAAGCTCGAAGACTAGAAGAAGGTTAATATCGTTCGTAAGGCGTAGGAAGCGGTAAAGAATAAGATAAGGGCGGCCGCTCTTAGTTAGTAGAAGACGCCTAGTTAGGAGATAGACTCGTTGTTGCTAACTAGTAAGAATAGACTAGATAGTAGCGTCGAATTAGTATACGTAGGTCGTACTAATATTAGGTCTGTCCGTGCCTCTAGTACTATCTAAGGCGTACTATATATAGAACAGCGTATAATGATAGAAGGTCTGCAAAAGACGTCTAATCTTATATTGTTGCAAGGTAACCGCTAGTACTCGGAGATGCTAGCGGCTTCTTGTAAGAAGTTAGCTATTATCGAAGGCGCCTTTATAGCTATTATACGGATTGAAGAGCGCAAACTCGAGGCCGATTTAGCACGGATTGAGCGTAAGAATAACAATGCCGTCGCTATATAGAAACTAGCCGATAATATAAAGGAGCGTAAGGAAGCAAGAGATAGGAAGGAATTAGGGCGAGAAGAAGCCCGAAAGTAGGACTAGATTAAACGTAACTATATACTCGATACTAAGCTAAACAAGATAAATAGTAACAATAAGGATAGGTATAAGAAGCAGGACAATAAGTTAGATACTATATTAGAGGCAATACGCAATAGTTTTAGGAAGTAATTTAGTATTTAGGGTATATAATATATCGGCGATATTCAATACTTCGGCTAGCATTATACATATCTACGGCCTTATACTAATTATATAAGCTTTTAGATGCTTGGCATATATACACACTAGATCTAATATATCTCGGATATAACGAATACCTAACAAAGGAACTAATATTATTACTCGAGCCTGTTCTTAGCGGTCTACTATATTATTAGATTTCCGCTATTTCCTTTACTACTTAACAACAACAACAACTACGACCGCTATCTACCTTCCTATATATTAAGACCTAAGTATTTATCGAGCGTCAGCGGCCTACACTTAAACCTGCTACCAATTATATCCGGAATACGCTATTCTATCGTATCTTCTTAGCGGAGGCAAACTATATAGTTATAGAGGAATACGGACACGCGCTAGAAGAGACTAATAGGCTAGTTTGTAGGCTAGAGGTTGTTATAGAAGTAATTAATAGACTAGAAGGTCTCTATCTTACTAAACGCCTATTCTACGCTAATCCGTAACGACGATAGGTCGGCATTGAATTTTCGCTAGTTTACCTCTAAAAATCGATAGCCCTACGTATACGTAAACGGTGCGATACAGCTATACAATCTATAGTATGCGTTGTCGCCTATAACGAAGAGATAAGGCTAGTTCTCGAAGAGACGGACAAAGCGCTGCTCTAGGTCCGTACGCTAGAATAAGGTCTAGTTATAGCAAACTCCAACCTCTAGTAACGATATATAGACAACGAGGCTATCCGGTGTTGTTATAGCCTAGTATTTAAGACCCTAGCCCTTATAATATAGGCTATATACTACCTTCGCTATTGTAGGGTCCTATAGTATATAGTGCGACTAGAATACGCTATCGATAAACCCCTATACCTTGCTATTATAGAAGCTATCTTTATTAAGGGTATTAACTCGCTGTCTATACTAATGTAGCTTCTCGTACGTTAAACTAGGCTACTAATAGATTAGTTCATTATATCGCTCGTAGATCTCGTAAAGGGCACTATAGAATATGCGATAGGTAGTACTCGGATAGTAACTAAGTAGTATAGATTGTCTATACTAGCGATCCGGATAGGCTATCCTTTAATATAGGATATAGACTACTTGTCTTGCCGTAGCTCTACAACCCTTGTAGTTAACTCGGTATTCAGTATTACCCTATATCGCCGTCGCGAGTCTGTTAATTTGGCCCTTTATAAGCTAATAGAGCCTACGGATATTCTCCTTATATTCTTCTTCTAACGACTAGTTTACCGCGTAAGCAGATACCCTAAACGACTCTCGGTTGTCTAGTTGCCTTACTCTACGCTATATCTAGTTAACTAGGTCCTTATATAGGCTCTAGTTAAGTATCAAATTCGCCGCGGAAGTAATAAGATATTGCTACTACCGTAGGAGCCGCTATTGCGTTAAAAACAGTACCTCTAAGTCGTCGTCTATATCTTCGAGCAATAGCAAGAGCCTAGCGGCTATAATAGACGTATTGACCTTAAGAAACGCGTAGTTAATACATACGATAATAGACACTATACTACTAAGAAGATAACTATTTTAAACTTCTATATATTGCTATTTTAGTAGACGGCCGAGGGTGGCTTTATTGCCTTCGAGGCGAGCCTCGATTAGGACTGGTTGCTAACCATAATAGCCCTCACGATCCTGCAAACCCTCCTTCGAAACCGGTGGATTGTGCTAATAAGCGCCGAAGCAAAGCTCTTTGCCGCGAATCACAACCCTACCACCCCTACGCTACCCAAACCTCTGCATACCACCCGTGCACGCCCTGCCCTCCGATTGGACCGTCGGAGCGCTCTCACTGGCCTCAAAGCATACACCTACAAACCCGCACACTGTACGCGCCCACTCCAAGAATAGCTGCACAGCGCTTCTGCAACAGCGCTGTGCTGTGCTGCTGAAGCGCCGCCGGCCGTCAGGTAAGCATCAGAGCCTAATTGCTTTAATCACAACACACCTGCTCTGCTCCTGGTCCTCTCCTCCCGCCGCCGCCGCCGCCGCCCTTCACCCGTGCCGCTGACACACCTCGCAGGCCTGGAGTGTCGTCGTTCCCGATTCATTCATTTGATTCTTCGGTCCCTACCAACCCTCGCAAACGACGACACCCAACCATGGCCACTGCCACTGCCACTGCCACTGCCACTGCCACTGCCACTGCCACTGCCACCTCCTCCGCCACGATGGCAGCCGCGGGATATGACAGCAAAAGAGCCAGCACCAGCACTGCTTCATCCTTGCCCACCCCCGGATCTGGAACATTTCCTTCGGAATTGCTCAGTCCCACGACAGCATCTTCAGCCTTCATCAGAAAAGATGAAGCCCTCCGAACTCCCATCACTCCTCCTTCTGCCTACTTGGACTTTTTGAAGACCTTCTCCCCTGCCGTTCAGAGTCCTGCTTCCGCAACCAGCACTCGCTTTAGCTTCACCGACAGAACCTTTGACCCATCCTTCGACAAGCTGACCGAACTTCCACCCCCCAAATCTTCCATGACTCCTCCAACATCGCAGCCATCCATCTCGAGGAACAACTCGTCCGACTCCAACGGAACGCAGCAAAGTGCCGCCACAGCGAGCAGTGCACCTGCCGACACCGCCACCAGACCGGACTCGCCACGCATCATCATTCCACCTTCACCATTTGTGAGGCCAGCACCGAGGTCTGCACGGACGCCACGACGCCTGAACATTCCACAGTCACCTTTCACTCCAGCACTCGGATCAGCTCTCTCCCTCCAGTCGCAACCCTCGCCCTACGCCTCCACCCCTCTCAGTGCAGCGCCATGGAGTGCTTCCTTCTCGCCACGAGAGTACACCCCGGATATCAATGGTCCGCCGGGCAGTAAAGTGCATGTACGTCATGTCGTCACTCGTACCGTCACCTACTGCCGAACATCCCTCGATCCACCACCCAAGGGCAAGAGGAGAAAGATCGAAGCAGACGATGACGTGACATCGTCTGAGGCCTCTTCCGAAGAACCTCCGATCAAACAAGAACCCATCGGAAGGATCGATGAGCTCTCAGAGGAATCAGCAGCTGAAGAGTCCGTTGCTTCTGCCTCTGCTTCCGAGACATGACAGGAGAGTCTTGTGCATGGTCATCACAACCATGATCTTCGACATTGACACACGCAAGTTGTCAACATTTCTGACAGCATTTGCGTTCAATTTCATGAGACCTGAAATAATCTCGACAGCCCCGAGCCAAACAGTGGCTGACTGGGACGTCGAATGAATGGCACCTTGCTTGCTTTCCTTTCTGATGACTTAACGATGGATACCACTTTGAAAGCCTTCGAAAGCCTGGCGCAGGAGAGGCGTACAAACAGTTGGAAATGATTGTTGTCGTTTTGTCACATATGTGCGTAAAGGCTCTCTATGGGAAGACGAGCATGGACAGAGGCACAACGTGGCGCTGGCTTTTCTTCTTCTTCTTCTTCTTCTTCTCACTCATCATCGTTCGAGAAGAGCCGTATTGCTTCGCTAGACGCATTAGAGATACCGAAGCTCATAGAAGACGAGCTGAACTTGAGACGAATCTAAGTGAATATGAAGACAATTGCATACTTTCACACTGATTCACTTGTCCAAGCTCTTCCCATTAATGACATATCAAACCCCCGTGAAGCTGTTCTAACAATGCGTCGGTTTGTGTCTTAAGAGTGCGTCTACTTCGGCGCCGGTAGACAGGTAGATAGGTAGCCTTCTGTATAATATCTCTACCGCTTTATCTACCGCTAATATCTACCGCCTTAGCTACTTTACTTTTCGGTGCATATCGTCGGTAGATTGTAATTAATTACTATAGCGTCGTCCGAGCGTAGTATACTATTATTAGAAGGTATATACGTAAACCAAATAGCGAAAACGCGTTTTTAAAACGCGTTTTAAGTAGCTTCTATATCTATATATAGTCTATTTTAACTATCTCTTCTATACTATTGTCTTCTAAGCTCTTAAAAAGTATAATAGATCTAAGGATATAGGTCGGCGTAATAGTATATATAGTAATAGCGAGCTAGTACGCGGCTCTCGCGCTTTTACTAAAGCGGAAATAGTATAGGAAGTAGTATCGACTAGCTAGTATTATAAGGACGTTAACGTAGCTAAAGAAGGCCTAATATAAGGCAATTCGAGTACTATATAGTCCGGAGTAGGAGTATTATAATAAAACTAATTTAAAGTAGCTAGTATTAAAGTGTTAGGGCTAAAGAGGCTATACGTAATTAGCATATAACTAGACCGAGTAAAGCTAGGGTCTTAGTGCCTTAGGTAGGGCTTAGCGCTTAGCGTTAGGCTAACTAGCCTACCTTCCCCCTTCTCCTCCTAGATCTCTATCGAATACTATACTAACCTACTACTACCCTATCTACCTACTAATATAACCCTTCTTATATAGTATTCGATCTACCCTTTAAAGGCAGCAGCTAGATAGTCCTTATTTTAAGCTTTTAGCGGTATAGCTACGAAAACTATCGATTTAACTATATTACGCCTAAAGAACGGGACCTATACGTACTATTCTACCTAAAACAACTGTACTAATTATTAAGCAAGGCCTTCTATACGGCCTATTATACTAAGTTAATTATACTAGGCCGACATCCGCTAATCCCGCTATATCCGCACTATAAGGGGCTACGATATATTATTAGTATTACCCCTTATTATAATAGCCGGCTTATTACGAAATAATAATAACAACCGCGGCGCCGCTAGCAGCGCTAGCAATAACAATACTAGTAGCATAGTGCCTACCGAAGCGCCTACTAAAGAGCCTACTAGCGGGCCTACTAAAGAACCTATAGTTCTAGATAATAATCTAGAATTGCCTATTAACGACATTCTTAACAATATTATTAATTGACGATATAGCTAACTAGCCTTTAGCCCCTAGCTAATAGCGAGACTTTAAGAAGCTACTTAGAATAGGCTTACTACCTTACGTTAAGAATAATAGCTAAAGGATAACCTCCTCGAAATTATTCCGCCTATAGGAAGCCCTAGCTACTAATACTAAGCTAATAGTAGGGCCTTCCTTACTACCTGTTTTAGTCTAAAAGAAGGATACTAAACTTAAGGACTATACCGTATTTAATAGCTCTAGTCGAAAACAATATAACGACTATATATAAGAAGGGTATATTAGCAGGTAGATAGGGTAGTAGTAGGTACGAGTAGTATTCGATAAGGAGCTAGAAGGAGAGGGAGGAAGGCAGGCAAGTTAGCCTACTGCTAAGCGCTAAGCCCTGCCTAAGGCATTGAGACCCTAGCTTTACTCGAGCCCGGTTATATGCCAATTACGTATAACCTCTTTAGTCCTAATATACGCTTCCCTTCTAAAGGCCGCGCCCTCGTAGCCGGTCTTTGTTCTAGTCTCAACCTCTATTGCTGCTAACTTAGTAGGTCTAATAAGCCGCTTAGTCCGCGCTAAATTGAACGCACAACTACCGATTATGTAACTATATCAAACCTTACCTCTAAACAACACAATGTACAACTCCAACTGCGCTATCTCTATATACAATAAACTATAAAGTGATATATATCTATAGGAATTGAGGGCTATCGACTAATTATAATACGAGCGCGTCTTCCCTGCTATAATAGGTAGACGTACGAGGTATTGTAGCCCTGCCTCCGTTCTAAGTAATGTCGTACCGAGTTCTTTACGTCTACTCTTAAAAGACCTAGCAATATCCGCTTCCGAGGGTTTGTCCGTTCCGAGGGTTGTTCTTATTATTACGAGGGCTATTATTTACTATCGTAGTTTCACTAGCCCTAATTAGTTAGGTTTGGCAGCCTTTAAGTGTCAACTAATTATATCTTTTCAAAAAACTCAGTTCTTCTAGTTTCTATAGGTAAAGGCTATTATAAGTGCAGTAGTAGAGGTTCGCCTCGCTTAAAGGGTTAGATAGATCGAGGAGTAACCTATTGTCCGCAAGATCGACCCCGGCTAGCTTAGCTCTATAGTTTTTGCCCTTAGTTAGTCTATTAGTCGCTTAATCTTTTAGGCGGCTTAAAGTTTTAACTTAGCCTTAAAGTTTTAATTAAACCTTTAATAGGCTCAAAGCTTTAATTAAGTTTTAATTAAAGATGCTTTAGGCTTGTAGTATAGGTAAGGTTGCGTCCGTAGGCGCAGTAACAATAGTAAGTAATGTTAATAATAGCGGCGCTAGTCGTCTTAGCGCTAACTTTACTTCGCTTTTAATCTTCTTCTTTAAACAACAATATACTCCGTAACACCGTTACTAATATAGCCGCGCCGGCCGCGCCGTCCTTTAGTACAAGCGCGACGCCGTCGTTACCGTTATTATTACTAATTACGCGCACGCGCGCACGCATCCTCGTCGATTATCTAGGCCTCGAGGCCTCGATAGAATAAAGGGACAAGAGGTAGAGTCCTTGAAAGAGTAGCGACTAATTAACGCGTCGTAGCGCGCTTATTAACACTCGGTACGCGTTCACTATAGTAGTGTAGTCTTATTGTCCTAGTTTGCCGGCCTCTAATTAGTTAGCTAATAATACCCCGGGGGTAGTATTATTCCTAGGCGATATTATAGGCCCTTAGCCTTCTTCTTATTCTTTACGCTAGTCTAATACTTATCTAACAACTTAGTTATATCTTTAAAAGAGGCTTTAGCTTCCTACGAGTCCTATTTAGGTGAATAGCCTTACTATCTTAATAGGTACTCCTTCTTGCCTTTCCTAGTCCGGTACTATAGGATACGTTCTATAGACTATAGCTCTTTACTATCCGCTAGTATGTCTTCGTGTTTAGTAGGGGCTTCATCCCCTTCGCGTAGGTAGTACGGCTTAAGGAGGGATACATAGAAGGTGTTATAGATAGTGTAATAAGGTAGAAGCTATAACTAGTAGGCCTAGGTGCCCCTAGGTTCTCGGATACGGAAAGGGCTAATATACCTTAGTACGAGTTTAGGCCTTGTTTTGCTATTAGGCGAGGGGTGTTTGCGGATACGGAGGTTCTTCGTACTAAGTATAACTAGGTCGCCTTGCTTGAAGGTTATTAGAAGGTAGTGTTTGTTATAGTAGGCCTTCTAGTAGGCCTAGGCCTTTGCTAGTTTGTTAGCTATCTTAGCGTGATTTCTCGCATCTTTCGACATAGCCGCTAGTGTCTTAGGTGTTAGTACTTAACGCGCTTCCCTTTCCTTGCGCTCGGCCTCGAGCGAGGTAAATAGATCTTATAGTAAGGCGGCGTTCTAGCCTATTATAGCTATGTATAGTGAAACCTTAGTAGATAAGTATATACTATTATTGTACACGAATTCTATAGGCTGTAAGAGATTGACCTAATCCTTAGGGTTCTCGTTAATGTAATTGCGTAGGTACTGCTATAGGGTAGCATTCTATCTCTCTGTTTAACCGTTAGTTTGTAGATAGAAGGCTGTTAATAGCCGATGCTTTAGTCTTAGCTATAGGCATATTTCGCTCTAATAGTGCGATGTGAATGTCGAGCCCCGGTTAGAGACTATCCCCTTAGGGGTTCCCTAATAGGTATAGAAGATGTTAGTCTATAGCGCCTCTGCTATATTAATAGCAGTCCAATCCTTACGCGCCGGGATATATCGAGCGCTCTTAGTAAACCGGTCTACGACAACTAGGATAGCATTATATACGTCCTTGCTGCCCCTACGCTTAGCAGGCGGAAGGCCTGTAATAAAATCTATTGTAAGCTTAGCGAATAGCTTCTTTAGAATAGGGAGTAAAGACAACTCGCTAAATAGTAAGTGTTTCGGTGCTTTAACTCGTTAATATACGGTATACGTGTTTACGTAGTCCTTTATATCCCGCTTACTATTTAGCTAGTAGTATATACGCGATAGTAGCTCGTACGACCTCTCTATACTATAGTAACCGGCAAGCTTACTATTATAGTGTCGCTTAAGAAGCTCTTATCGGATCGAATGTTTAGCGGGGACATAGTATCTGCCCTTGAACTTTAAATAACCTTTGTTATCGATCGACTAGTTACTCTTACTAGATCGAGTCGTTCGCCTACTTACAAGCTTGTCGATACGTTTAGTAGCAAAGGCGTCCCTCTGCTAAGTACGTAACAGCTTATCTATAAACGATTAACTATCCCTATTTACAAGGTTATTTAACAGCTCCCTCGCTATTAAACGAGGTACGCATTGTATGCATCTAATAGCACTAGCAGCCGGATTAACTATAGTAGTGCTATCGCTGTTACTATATATTACGATATCGACTAGGGAGTTATTATAACTTCTCCTGTCTATATCCTTAGCCCTTGCCTTAATACGCACTATTAATATAGTAAGAGTATTAACATGCTTTAAGCCGTCGCGGAGTCCAGTAAGCCGCTTATCCTACGCTTGCTTATTAACAATACGGGCTATAGCAATCTTGTACTGCAGGGTTGGAAACAAAGAATTGATATATTAGGTCTCGCTATCGTAATTAGGTCGCCTCGATAGGCTATCGGTAGGGTTACTTACGCCTAGCTAGTATAATATATTAAAATCGAACCCGGCGAGGTAGACGGCCTATCTAGCCTGTCGACCTATAACCCTAGTAACCTTCGTAATTCTACGGAGGT